CCATCAAACACTAACTAATCTAATAATCCCCCACTTAGTTAGTGAGTTGATGTTGTTTATAAGATTCATGCATATAATAGGTATCTTTCGATTTAAACCTACTACTTGTATAAACTATTCAAGACCTTATCGAAATTGATGGTTAGATTAAGTTCCATTACACCACAATTCCTATATGACAAGATGGAAAAGCTTTATACACATAAATCGTACCAACTCCACAACTTGTTCACCGTGAGTTTTAGCACCCGATTATGGCCTTGTGCTACTTCCTGAATTCATAAACACTTATCAAGTTTTGTATCCCAAACTTTGATCGAAGTGGCACCACTTCTTGTGTTTACATAGGTGAAGATTTAACAAAGTCCTTAACACGGACTTTTTTTTATTCTTAAACCAAACTATTCTTCTTCATTAAGAGTATTTTTATACTCACCCTCCTTTTGCTAGGTACAAATTTCCAATACCTGCTATCTGTCACAACTATAACTTGTTATTACTTTTTAAACCTTTAATATTGTTAAATAATAAGAAAGGTAAGGTTCCCGTTACTAGTGACAAATTTAAATTACCTTAGACCCATAGCACTTGTTGTGTTTATTATCATATCCCTCGCGAGTCCTTTAGTGAATGGGTCAGCAAGGTTGTCTTTAGACTTGATGTACACAACAGTAATAATTCCATCCGAAATTAGTTGTCTTATGTACTCATGTCTCAAAGCAATATGTCTAGATTTTTCATTGTATATTTTGCTAAATGCCTTAGACATAGTTGCTTCACTGTCACAGTACAAGAGAACAACTGTCATTGCTTGTGGCCACAACTCTATATCTAACAATAAATTTTTCAGCCACTCTGCCTCTCTTCCCGTAGCTGCTAACGCAACAAACTCAGATTCTATTGTGGAATGAGTAATACATGTCTGTTTCATAGAAGACGATGAAATTGCTCCTCCGCCTAAAGTGAATATCCACCTAGACGTTGACTTGTTATCACCAACACTAGTTATCCAACTAGCATCACAATATCCTTCTAATACTTAAAGAAATCTGTTATAATACAAGGCAAAAGTGTTTGTCCTTTTCGGATAACCAAGTACTCTCACTATACCTTTCTAGTGATCACCACTTGGATTATGAGTATATCTTGATAATTTACAAACTGCAAAGAAAATATCTAGCCTAGTGCAGTGCATAGCATACATTAAATAATAGGTGACTAAAATATTAATTCTGGACTATTTAATAGGCCCAAAGCCCAATTGCTCCAAGTGTCCCAAGTGCCCAATCTTGACTATTAATAATATAGTCAAATTTTCAATTTCCCTTCAAAACATCCTTTAAAATATGTAAACTATATAAGACAAAGAAGTATTTTTTTAGACACTTCTTCCTTTTTTTCTTTTCCCAATAAAATACAAAATATCCCCTTCTCAAATACTATCATCAAACACTAACTAATCTAACACTTGCGTTTACTTAGAGAACCAACAAACTACGTTGCCTTTTGTTATGACCACGCTGGAAGATAAAAGAGGTGTCCCATCTAGTAGGTTTATCTCATAAAATGTATGTAGGTTGCTAGCCAAATTTGGCAATCTAAATGCCATGCATGGCATTACCGTCATTTGTAATGTTCTAGGGGATTTCATTTCCCTTGAACCCTGACTAGTTTCTATCAAAAATAGAAGTCTTTGTTTATAAATTAGAAAAAACACATATGCACAATAATATCAGTATTATAGACCAGTGTTTTAAAAGACGAAGTGTGAGGCGAAGCATTTTACTTGGTACGAGACAAGACGTAAGTCTCGACACATGGGGTGTGCGCCCGGATCTTTAAGTTTATAAATTTATAAATTAATAATACAACAATATAACACAAAAAAATATAAAAAAGCATTAAACGTGCAAGAAAATAAAAAAATGTTGAAAGACTCATAGAAAATAAAATATTTAGCATATTTTACATGAATAAATAATGCAATATTGTTTAAATCGCTATGAAATATAAATCAACTATAATGTCTTAACTTTCAAATAATTAAAAATCATAATTTCTTAAAAATATTATCAAACTGTACATTTTACCTCACTAAAAGTAAATACCCAATAAATTTTACCAATCCTGTAATTTAAAATATTACTCCTTCATGAGTAAATGAAAAATTACTTTCAAGTAAAGATAGTTTTGAGAGGCGTAGAACTAAGACACATGAAGATCTAGCAAGTAAAAATATAAATTTTTGCTATCTATTTTTCAAAAGAAATATTCAAATGACGTCTCACGATGTGCTCAATTAGTAAATATGCAATATTATGATTCGTTATTTGGGTTATTCACAAATTTAATATCCCTAAGATGGAAAGAACTTTAATAATTCATTTGTCGAAGAATTTTGATAGTTAACATTGCTAATTAGTGAATTCGACACTTGCATAAGAACTGTTGAGCGAGCCCCGAGCATTGAGCGTTAGGCGTATTTAGGACGTACAATTGGACACTTGGGGGCGTAAACCTCACATAACTAAGCGTCACACATGAGGCTCAAGGCGTTTTTAATAGTGTCCTAGTCCCAAAAAACCTTTTAAACACTGTTATAGACTAAATGTATCTCTCACTCTTGACTTAAATTATACTACATTATTCAATAGCGTGAACTAAATTTTGTACAAGTGTTATCAGTAAATTGCAACTATTCAACTTATAAATGGAATTGAATATGAAAATATGGTGGTTGTAAGTTTTACTTCTTATTCCAAATTGCTTATTATTTATAAGTTTTATTTCTAAGTAGTGTCGGTATATTGTATATATGATAAAGAATTCTATGCAGAGCAGTGTCAAACGACGCCCTTTAGTAGGAGGTTGTCCAACAACATCCCTATTATAAAAAGCTTTCCGAATTACATAGTTCCTTTAAGTTCCTAAATTGTAGGAAAAAACCAGTGACTTCAACATTTTTTGTATCTACCGACTAATTTCTTTTCATAATAGTCTATTGGCTGCTGAATATACGTACATAGTTGTCGTATCTATCTCCAATGTTAGTGTCTAGTGAGCTACAACTCAACTTATGAGCTCAGCTGGGATCACAAGTGGCATAATTTATAGAGTAGTATTTGTAGATTCCTCCAAAAATAGGGCATTGGACGTCTTGTCATTTAGCAGTTATATATAGGTTTTTTCCTTCAATGGAAGATGGTGCTTAATTGTTTATTAGTTTAGTCGTGTCAATTGGATTCTATGTAATAAATATTACTTTATTCTTCCAATTTTCTGGTCCCTACACTTTATGCCAGTTCCTTTTAACTTGGAGAGTGGAGAGAATTATATTTGAAAACTGATTCTAGATTCTTCTCTTTTGGTTTATAATTAGATTGTCACTTTAGTGCGTGCATAGTTCCATAGGTTAATATTAAAAAACTTTGTGCTCACATAGGGGAGTAGTCGGAGAAAAATATATTTAGAAACAGTTTTTAAAAGTTTGATCAAATAATAATTGATGTTCAAAGATATTTTTTAAATGAATTAGCCAAACACAAACTGTTTTTTACCAAAATTACTTTTCTGAAAAGTATTTTTTTTAAAAAAATACTTTCAAAATAAGTTGATTTTTGAAGTTTGGCCAAATAGGCTATTCTTAAACTGATGAGAGGCCCAAGATGGAATCATGGAATCATCCCGAATGAAAGTTTATGTACTCGTTTGTATGTTTAGAGTTTGAAAAAAAGTACCAACAATAAAGATGAAATTTTGTAGATTACGGCGTGTCAATGGGGCTTCAAGCACTCAAAATAAGTCAAAATTGAAATTGACTACTATGTGGGATCATATAGCCAACTTTTCATTGCGAATGATTTATTAGAGTAAACGTAAACAAATGTGATAGATTAATAAAATTGATCCGCTAATCATATACCGTCAACCCTGTTTAGCAGCTAGATAGCGAGCGAAAATCTTATGTGTTCGCACAAAATAAATAAGGAAGACACCAGTTGGTACGCGCATAAAACTCAGGACTAAACAAATTACACAACTGCCAGCTTCTATTTTGGAACAAAGGAACCGACAGAAACTAACTTGAGTGTAAATGTGAAAAGAAACAAGTGCAGATTGAGAAAGTAAACTAAGGAGTAAGGAACTTTTCAAATGATAGCCATTTGAGAAAATATCTCCAACCTCGTAGAAACCTTTTGAGGAAATAAATTGGCGGATTGACATTAAGAAATAAAATCAACTCCTCTATATCCCGCTTTCCATACGTAAGATTTTACTTATAAATTAAGTTTTTTTTTATGAATTAATCTTGTTGAATTTATTCATAGAGTAAATGTAATTTGGGGCATTTTCATATATACTCACTTTTGGGGCCACCATTGAAGTTATTGTTGCTCCAAAACACACAAGTAAGTATACGTGGTCGACAAGTAATAAAGTGATAAGTATAGTATCGTTCTCACGAGAACTTGCGATTAACTATTAACTAAAATAAACTCAATCAATTAATCTATTAAAATGACTTTGGTCGGTTTTTCGTCCGATTGTTTCACCGACTGAAGTCGGCCGGTCGATCGCAGTCGATTTTGGCCGAATTTCTAGTAGTGTAATCTAGAGTAGTAAACTAAGAAAGTAAAGGAAACAAGTCGGCAATATTAGAGGCGAATTCAATGGGAAAAAATATTCCAGAGTCATGGGCTAGCTAACAATCCTGTTGAGTCTTTCACTTAAATTGTCTAATTAATTTATCTAGTTTATTGATTGATAAGGTTAATATGACTCATAGTATTCTTCCGAAGTACTACTCGCCTAGTCAAGCTAACCTAATGCATATATTCCTATGAAATTAGGATCAACATTAACGCTGTCATAACCCGAAATCCCCCACCGTCGGGACCGTGATGGCACCTAACATCCCACTTGCTAGGCAAGCCGACGTTAAAGTATTATGAAGTTAACTCTTATACATTGCAATAATTAACAGTAATTAAGCTATAACGAGTGCGGAATATTATAACAACTTTATCATTTACCACTTCCCGGATCTGGTGTCATAATTCACGAGCATTCTAGAATTTACTACAAGTAATAGTCTGAGAGAAGTACAACTGTTTGAATGAAAGAAACAGTAAAATAGAAAAGATAGACATGGACTTCAAGGTCTGTGAACACCGACAGATCTACCTTAAGTCTCCGGATAGCGGGTCCAACAGCTAAACTCTCGATCAACCCGAACCAGTACAAAAATCTGCACAGAAAGTGCAGAGTGCAGTATTAGTACAACCGATCCCATGCACTCGTAAGTGTCGAGCCTAACCTCGACGAAGTAGTGACGAGGCTAAGACAAGACACCTACAATCAAACCTGTACAATATAGCAGTGTATATGCAAATAACAGTAAAGAACTAAACAAGTAATATCGGGAGGAAAAAATATGCTGAGGGGTAATACGAGGTAAAGAGCTACATCAGAAGGATAACTTGAACAGTAGATACACTATGAACCAATGAACACAGCAAAGGAAAAGTGCACGGCATCACCCTTCATACTTTTACTCTCATCCTCATAATGAAATTAATAGAAATGGCACGACATCACCTTTCGTGCATTAACTCTCATAACATGGCACGATATCTCCCTTCGTGCATTACACTCACAATATGACACGACATCACTCTTCGTGCATTGCACTCACAAAATGGCACGACATCACCCTTTCGTGCATTAACACTCTCAACCTCACAGTCAATAGAAACGGCACGGCATCACCCTTCGTGCATTAACACTCTCCCTCACCAAAATAATGAACAATAACAGCAGGGAGATAGAAACAACAAGATCAGATCTTACTTCAACATATGGTTCCGCAATACCAACCTCAACTCGAATCAACACTCAATAAATACCAAAGTCTGTAAACATGATAAGAATGATCAACATCACAATTAACTCGTCTAAGCATGAATAACATGATCAAGGAAAGCAACAATTATAAGAATAAGACCCACCCGCATGCTATAACCCGACAACAAGGCATAGGTACTCATCACCTCACCTATACGTGGTACCCAATATCTAAACACGTAGCAAATAGACAAATAAGTCCTAATCCCTCAAGTCAAGGTTAACCACGACACTTACCTCGCTCCAACGGCCAAACTCAAACCTTAATCACATCTTTTCCTTTCCGACAAGCCTCCGAACCGATAGAATCTAGCAAATTACCAACCAAAAAATTCAATTTAAGCCTTAGGAACTTTCTACAATTGTAAAGAATTCAATTTAGGCCTTTTTTTTTTTAAAAGTCAACAAAAGTCAACACCCGGGCCCGCTTGGTCCAAACCCAAAATTCGGACCAAAACCCGATTACCCATTCACCCCCGAGCCCGGTTATATAACTGGTTTTGAAATCCGACCTCAATATGAGGTCTAAATCCCCAATTTATCAAATCCCTAGTTTCTACCCAAAAAAAACCCAATTCCACCATGAAAATCTTAAATTTTTAGGTTGCAATCTTAGGAAAAGTATTGAAAGATTTAAAGAAATTAGCTTAAGATCGCTTACCAATGATTTGGGGAAGAAATGTTCTTTGGAAAAATCGCCTCTTGTGCTTCTAGGTTTGAAAATATGGGAAATGAACCAAAACTCCCGTCTAAGTCCTATTTCATCAGCTACAGATGTCGCATTTGCGATTTGGGTTTCGCAAATGCGAAGTCCTTCACACCTTTGTTGTCTTCACAATTGCAAAGAATTGTTCGCAAATGCGAACTCTGGATGACCACAAATGAGACACTATCGTCACAAATGCGAAGGATGCCTTCCCCAAACCCACTTCGCAAATGTAAAGGTTATTTCGCAAATGTGAAACCTGCGTGGCCCAGCTTCTCTTCGCATTTGCGAGAAGCTTCGCAAATGTGAACCCCTCAGAGGTCGCAAATGAGATGCCTGATCTTGCAAATGCGAGATCAAAAGCCTACAACAAGATCAGTTACACCAGCAAATTTTACCAAGTCCAAATTCACTCTGAAGCCTATCTGAAACTCACCCGAGCCCTCGGGGCTCTAAACCAAAAGTGCACACTAGTCTAAAAATATCATACAAACTTGCTCGCTCGATTAAATCACCAAAATAACACCTACAACTACGAATTAAACACCAAATCAAGTGAGATTTTTCAAGAAAGCTTTGAAATTTTATTTTCACAACCGAACGTCCGAATCACGTCAAACCAACTCCGTTTCTCACCAAATTTCACAAACAAGTCATAAATGTGGTATTGGACCTATACCGAGTTGCGGAACCAAAATACGGATCTGTTATCCAAAAAGTTAAATTTTGGTCAAACATTTCAAATTCAATAAGCTTTTAACTTTCAAATTTCGATAAAGTCCGATATCTCGAGTTAGGGACTTCTAAATTCGATTCCGAGCATACGCCCAAGTCTCAAATCACGGTACGGACCTACCGGGACCGTCAAAACATAAATTTGGGTCCGTTTACCAAAAACGTTGACCGAAATCAACTCAAATGAAGTTTTTAGGTAAAATTCCTTATTTTTATCAGTTTTTAACATAAAAACTTTTCGGAAAGACGTCCGGACTGCGCACACAAATTTAGGAAGGCTAAATCATGATTTTTAAGGCTTCAGATCTCAGAATTAGGTTTCAAAATACGAGATGACTTATCGGGTCATCACAAACGCATTAATAATTCCCGTATAATAACCAAGCAAGGTGATTTAGTATATCCCTATCCTAACCACGAACCCATTCTCCAATGCCCAGGTTCAAGATCTTGCTCTATCCAATCCTATATGCAATCTAGAATTCCCTCTCTCGAGTTCAATCCTAGATTCGTAGATAGATCAAGCAATCAAATAGTTAAGCACAAGATTGAATAAATAAACTAATATGATAAAATAATAAGAACAATCCAAGTTTCAAACTACAATGTTCATGTAGCACCCACAACCCTTGAACTAATAAACTATGGGAATGAACGAAAAGAAGAGAAGAAAACTAGTTGGAAGCCTCCTCCAAACGTGATTTGTGTTCTCGTACGTAAATGTTCCTTCAAAATATGTTAGATATCCTTCAAATTGGATTTATGATCTCTTTTATATGAGTTGGGATCATGTAGCCAAAATAACCTTATTCCGAATGAAATAGAAAAAATTCCGCAAGGGAGGGTCGCGAGCGAGGCACTAGCCCAGCGCTGGAACCAGTGAGCTTTTCACGCTCAAATCCTTGCTTGCTGCCTAACTTTCAATTACTAAATTTATAAACCAACCAATCATAATGTAATGATTACTAACCAAGTAATCATGATGATTGAAAAATTATTATTTTTGCTCCAAAATTCCATCTTTTTCTCTCTAATATACCTACATTATCAATTAACACCCAAATAATTATAAAGCTCAATACTCAAGCTAAGTTGGGCATATACAATATAAAATACATCAAAAAGCGGTAAAAATATAGAGTAAATAATATCAAAACATATAAAAATACGCCCAACATCACCACCACACACTTAAACCCTTGCTTGTCCTCGAGCAACCAAAACTTTACTACTTCAACCACACAACTCAAGAGATCACATCATGAGGGATCATATAACCATTAAGCACACTATACCTATGACTATGGTTGATACAAACAATTAAGCATGTACATACACATTTTACACACTTCTCAACTTCTACATGCCCAAGGTTAAAAAAATTTAAAGCTTCAAACAGCCTACCCATAATCACCTCACCTTAAAGACTGACTCGTTGCCACTAAGCACTCTCGGCTTACACCTTACCCCAATAAGAGAAATTTAATAAATTCACCTATCCATTTTGAGATCACGTGCCCTCACTATAAAACAAGAGAAAAATAATTTACACACTCAATTCAAGAGATCAAATGTAATTCAAGTACTCCACACACAAGAACAAGAATTTACTCGCTCTCAAAAAGATATGCATGCGCATCCCAAGTTCGTACCATAAGCTTGCCCGTAGTGTAGGACTCGACTAATCTAAGCTTGCTAAAACTAGGATCAATTAGGACTTTATGGACTGTATAGAATAAGGAACGGGTAGGATACATTTGGTAAGAGTGACTAACCCTCCTAAGCACTTTTTAATGCAATACAACAATCAATTCGAGCGCAAACTTATCATAACCCAACCATTACATCAAGAGTAGACTGTTGTGATGACCTGATAGGTCGTTTTAAGTACTAGCCTTAATTTTTATATTTCGAAACCTCTCATCGATTTTTTTTTTATGTTTATTGATTTACGTGTGTGGTCCATGTCGCTTTTCAAAAAGCTTTTATGTAAAATTTTGAAGAAAATGTGATTTTTGACTTAAACTAAGGATAGAGTTGACCACAGTCAATCTTTTTGATAAACGACATCGGATCTGTGTTTTGACGATTATGGTAGGTTCGTATGTTTCAGAACTTCAGATTTTGAATCTGAAGTTGTCTGAAGGTGTATTGAAAAATTGAACAACTTAAGATTTCAGATTTTGAATCTGAAGTTGTATTGAAAAATTGAACTACTTAAGATTTGAATCTCTGAAGTTGCAATTGAAAGATAGAAGAACTTCATATTCGAAATTTGAAGTTGTTGTGAAGAGCTTGAACTACTTAAGATTTGAATTTCTGAAGTTGTAGTTGAAAGATTGGAGAACTTCAGATTTGATTTCTGAAGTTGCATTGAAAAGATTGAACTACGTCAGATTCGTGAAGGCACACTTTGCAAAGTTTTATGTAATGTGGGTATAAATTCAACGGTGACATCAAAAATGGATATATATGCAAGTCCTATAAGGGATAACTAAAATTTATCCTACTATTAATTAATATCCATAATCAAATATATGGGATACATACAATTTCATATTCTATCACGTAATTAGTATTCTTATCGTAACCAAATGACCCCTTAAGGCATATAACATGTGGATTATATACTTCAATGGTTTTTAACGTACATATCAGGTTGGGTATTTTGTAAATACTTTTCTAAATAAGTATGAGAGTAATTAATGTTAGGATCGATTATACTATAAATTGATAATTACATTACATAGAAGTGTATTAGTGATAATTAGCTTATACATTAATAATTACACTAAGTACAAGTGGATTAGCTGATGATTTATTGTAAATTGATAATCACACTACCTAGATGTGTATTTCATAGAAATATCCTTAAGATTATTTTGCAGTTTAGAATAATCATT